ACAGGTACACTAAGTATTGTGTTAACATTATACATCTACAGGTACATTAAGTATTGTGTTAACATTATACATCTACAGGTACATTAAGTATTGTGTTAACATTATACATCTACAGGTACATTAAGTACTGTATTAACATTATACATCCACAGGTACATTAAGTACTGTATTAACATTATACATCCACAGGTACATTAAGTATTGTGTTAACATTATACATCTACAGGTACATTAAGTCTTGTGTTAACATTATACATCTACAGGTACATTAAGTACAGGTAAAGGGAGATGCATGTATTTCTAGATTTGTACTTACATCTACAGGGGAATACAGGTATTTCTGGATATGTACTTAGATCTATGGATACAGGGGAATACAGGTATTTCTAGATTTGTACTTACATCTACAGGTATTTCTAGATTTGTACTTGCATCTACAGGGGAATACAGGTATTTCTAGATTTGTACTTGCATCTACAGGGGAATACAGGTATTTCTAGATTTGTACTTAGATCTATGGATACAGGGAAATGCAGGTATTTCTGGATATGTACTTAGATCTATGGATACAGGGAAATGCAGGTATTTCTGGATATGTACTTAGATCTATGGATACAGGGAAATGCATATATTTCCAGAGTTTCACTGTTATTATATAGCTAGAGATGAAGGGTACTGTATTGATAGTAAACTGATGTTTTATAAAGTTTGTGATAGATAAATGAATGTGCTAGTACCTAAAAGTTATGATAACATGAATACAGAACAGAATAGTTTTTATAGTTAACTAGACAACACAAGTTATTTCTCAATTCTAATCCATGATCTGGTTCTTATCTATTGGCTTACAAGTTCTGGAATTAAGGCAATCATAATGTTTGATTTTGTGTAATTTTGATATTTCATTGATCACCAAGTTACCTCTGGTTTTAATTTATTACTTTGTTAACCACTTGTAGATCATTGTTTACTGAATAAATGGGGTAACAAGTCCACTTGTAGATCATTGTTTACTGAATAAATGGGATAACAAGTCCACTTGTAGATCATTGTTTACTGAAGGAATGGGATAACAAGTCCACTTGTAGATGATTGTTTACTGAAGGAATGGGATAACAAGTCCACTTGTAGATTATTGTTTACTGAAGGAATGGGATAACAAGTCCACTTGTAGATCATTGTTTACTGAAGGAATGGGATAACAAGTCCACTTGTAGATCATTGTTTACTGAAGGAATGGGATAACAAGTCCACTTGTAGATCATTGTTTACTGAAGGAATGGGATAGCAAGTCCACTTGTAGATCATTGTTTACTGAAGGAATGGAATAGCAAGTCCATTTGTAGATAATTGTTTACTGAAAAGTTGGGATAACAAGTCCACTTGTAGATTATTGTTTACTGAAGGAATGGGATAACAAGTCCACTTGTAGATTATTGTTTACTGAAAAGTTGGGATAATAAGTCCACTTATTGATAATTGTTTACTGAAGGAATGGGATAGCAAGTCCATTTGTAGATAATTGTTTACTGAAAAGTTGGGATAACAAGTCCACTTGTAGATTATTGTTTACTGAAAAGTTGGGATAACAAGTCCACTTATTGATAATTGTTTACTGAAGGAATGGGATAGCAAGTCCATTTGTAGATAATTGTTTACCAAAAAGTTGGGATAACAAGTCCATTTGTAGATTATTGTTAATGGAAAGAATAGGATAAAATGTCCACTTGTAGATATTTGTTTACAGAAGGAATGGGATAACAAGTCCACTTGTAGATCATTGTTTACAGAAGGAATGGGATAACAAGTCCACTTGTAGATCATTGTTTACTGAAGAAATGGGATAAAATGTCCACTTGTAGATCATTGTTTACAGAAGGAATGGGATAACATGTCCACTTGTAGATCATTGTTTACTGAAGGAATGGGATAACAAGTCCACTTGTAGATCATTGTTACTGAAGAAATGGGATAAAATGTCCACTTGTAGATCATTGTTTACTGAAGGAATGGGATAACATGTCCACTTGTAGATCATTGTTACTGAAGAAATGGGATAGCAAGTCCACTTGTAGATCATTGTTACTGGAGGAATGGGATAACATGTCCTAGTTGTA